GTAGTAGTAGTAGTAGTAGAAAGTAGTAGTAGTAGTCGTCGTCGTCGTAGTAGTAGTAGTAGTAGTAGTAGTGGTGGTAGTGTAGCACCAGCAGCACTAGCAGCACCATAAACACTAATTTGTCAATTATCACAAAGCGCCACGAATCATCACTGGTTTCCAATAACTAGCTTAATTATTACCATTACAACCAGTTTTTGGTATGTCCGAGATTGGAGGGGTCTCCAGTTCACACGGGACAGGGACAGGAGTGTAGAGTCTAGGGTCTAATTTAAGGTTCAGGGCCTAGTTAGGATGCTGCAAGTAACCCGTTTGAGGGAACCCAGGACCTGGAAGCTAGATCATATCGGAGCGGGACAGTTATCAACACTATTCTTTGTGGTTCCCTATTCTCTGTTCGATATACCCCAAAGCCTTATTCTGTTTATAAAGGCCTTGATTCTGCTCCCGTAAGCAATACCTTCCAATTGCTGTGCATGTGCCGAAGCATTATGCGTGCTTGAGGCTTGACCCGCAAGCCCTTGGCATCCCTTTTTTGACATCCTGTTTCATGATCTGATCCCTCTCTCTCTCTCTCTCTCTCACTCTATACATATATATATATATATATATATACTGTAAAATGCTCCCCCCCACACGAAAACTACATATTCAGACCTAATCAACCCTAAACCCTACCAACCCTAAACCACAAGCCCGAAACCTTAAATTCAGATGCCCCCAAAACCGTCTCTTCAGGTCCTTCTGCTAGCGGGTACAGGGAGCCCTCCGCACATCAGAAGCCCACAAGAGTCCACATTCCCCACAGCAGGAGTAGACGGTTTTAGGGTTTAGGGCTTTAGGGCTTTAGGGTTTTAGGGTTTTGGGTTTAGGGAGGTTTGCCCAGAACCCTGAAGTGTAGTACCTTTTCTTGGTTGACTTTTTTATGCTCAGAACCCTACAGTAAGACACTAAGGGAGACAAGGAACGGTACTACATTCAAGGGTCGAGGTAAGGTTTCGGGCGGGCCTGGGGTTTGGGGGTTTATAGGTCTTCGGGTTTATAGGGTTTAGGGCTCATGGGGTTTAGGGTTTTAGGGTTGACACTCCCCCGCAGCAGACAAGAGAGGATAGGGCGATGAGGGTTGGGTCGGAATGATGAGCTATGCTGGTATTGTCCCATTGAAGCCCTGATAAAGACATAGGGAAAAAGGCACCAACAGCCCTGGTAGGAATCGGGGGCCCTAGACCCGAAACCCTAAACCCTAAACCCTAAACCCTAAAACCCTAAACCGTTCAAGAGAACTTGAAACTGTCATTTTAGAAAGCTTTGATGGAGGTTGTTGCCGAGATGATGCTGGACACCGGCTCCAAGGCTGAGATCACAAGTTCATTTTGGGAGTTTCCGAAAACAAGGTGTACCTTATTTTGGGGTCCTTATAATAGGTGGTCCACTATAATAAGGGTCCTACTATTTGGGGTGCTATATTAAGGTCCCCTATTTTCGGAAACCCCCATTTTGGGGCTTGAGCTTGGAGGAATAATCGACTTAGAGTGACCTCCAGGAGGTTGGCACATGAGTTCATGTAAAACCCCACTGGGGCTTTGGGGCTTGGGGTTCAGTGCTTAGGGTTTCGGGTCTTCAGCTTCAGGGTTTCGGGGGCATGGGGTTCAGCAATACGGGCCGATGGAGAGGGCTGACACGCCATCCCATGGTTGGGTTTGCTACTAAAAGGCATGAGTGCTACAGGGGACAGGATCCATGCTGCTTCATGGTGGCCATCATGCTCTGAGGTTTCAAGCACTGAAGAAATCAGTAAGAGCAGCACATCATTCCGTACATGGGCCGGGATGCTGACAACCATTCATCTTACCTTCCGCCGTTGCACCCCAGACTGAACCCTAAGCAGGAAAATTTGGAGCTGGCATCTTGGTGGAAGCGGATGCGGCGTCGAGCCTTAACCTTCGTGTGCCACGGCCGCGCATTGAGACAACTTAATGTAGACGGTCTACCTGAGAATAAATATCCTTGAAGATTGGAGTCTCTCTATGTATATATATATATATATATATCCGTATATATATATATATGTATGTATATGTATATATATATATACACATAACTATACGATAGCCACCAAACCTGGAAAGTTAGCAAATGTGAGCAGTGATGAGTAAGAGTCTGCCCTTTGGTTCTTCTATAAGCATATGTGTATGTATATGTATAATATATATGTGTGTATACGCTATATACTACACCCCCACGACCCTATTCTACTTGTGTCTTGGGGGGGGCTAGTGATGCAGGGCTCAGACTTATGGCTTCAAATTTCTGTTCGGAGCTTCTTGGTTTTATGGATTAGATTAGGGTTTCGGGTTTTAGGGTTTTAAGGATTAGGCTTGGTTCGAGTTTAGAGGGCAAGTTTTCGGGCTGTTGGCTTAGATCACCGGAGTCTCAAAGTTTCGGACTCGGCGTGCCTTCTACGAAGCGGGCCCTCTTCCGAATCAGGGTACGTGTGAAGGCATCTTCTGTTCGTCGGAGTTTCGGAACGTCCCTTGCCTTCCGAATCAATGTCGATTGGACCGTTCGCTTGTTCCACGCTTCCCTCCGATCCCGAGAACATCCCAAACCCTAAGCCCCAGAGCCTAAAGCAGGAGACTCCATAATGTTGCGCAAACTTCGTGCTGCAACAAGCCACGACAAGTGTGAGTGTTATATGTAGATATATGCAGATGATTGCATCTGCATAGACATGACTATACATCACCCTAAATCGTATCACAATCCATAAACTTGTAGAGTTTCGAGGCTGTCTTGTGATCCGTAAAACTTCTTCAAACCTTGACACCCTGCAGCTCTAAATCCCCATGTACCTACCATCGTCGAAAAGTGGCGCATTTCTGGTAGTAGGAATGATGGCGTTATGGTTTGGGGCAAGTTTTCTCCAGATAGGTACTTAGGGCTCTGTGGGAGAATGCATGGCTCACAGGCTTCTTTCTCTAGTTCTGTCATTTTTGGAACTCTGTGTATGGTTTGGGGTTTAGGGTGTAGGGTTTAGGGGTTTACTTGAACCCTATAAAACCTACTCCTTTTAAGCTGAAGTCATCCTTTGTGTCTTCCATGCCCAGCGGGATGGGGTGAAGGGGATCCTGAAAAAGGCTTGCGAAGATGATGGTGGTAGCAGTCATTGCATGCCAACCCTAACCGTCGGGTACAGGCAGGAGCGCTACGAGGCACAAAGCCCTAAACTAAACCGAACAAACCCTCAACTAGGGTTTAGGGTTTAGGGTCTGATCCCTAAACTCTAAACCCTCAACCCAAAATAGAACATATGAAGAAATCCGGAAGCCGTCTTGAAGTCCCCCTCTGACATGCACCTGTCTAAGGAACTCAAAGCAGTTCGAAGCTTTCACCTGCTGCGTCATCGTGCTTCTCGGAGTTGCTAAGGGTTTCTGTAGTAGTCGAGTAGGGGACCTTTATTCTTTTTAGGGTTTAGGGTTTAGGGTAGTAGTCGGGTAGGGAACCTTTATCCTTTTTGGAGTACTAGGATCCCTTCAGAACCCCAAAAGGTTCACCTCCTGGTTTGACTCTAAAACCCTTCGCCCTCTAAACCCAAAGCCCGGAAGCCGTAAACCCTGCACCCTAAACGCTTACTCTAAACCTTTCGCCCCGATCCCTAAAACCATCTAGGACACTAAGGCCCCAAAGCCCTAAAGCCCCACAAAGCCCTAACACCCCCAATCCCAAAAGCCCTTTGGCCCCAAAGCCATCTGGCACCCCAAAACCCATAACATCCTAAAGCCCCTAGGGCACCCTGTACCCTAAACCTTACTAAACCTTATAGAGCCGTTAAACTATCGCTTAAAGGAGCCATGAACCCTGAGCCCTAAACCCCAAACCCTAAAGGAGCCCCGAACCCTAAGCCTTACTGTTCCTCGGTCTTCGGATGTTGACGCTCTGGGACCTCCCCGAGTTTAGGGTACCGAGCACCCCCTGTGATCCACCTTAGAGCGTCGGGTTCCGTAGGCCTACTGTACTTACACGTCGGCTAGCCGAAAATTAAACCCCTAACTCGAATCTCCCGAAAGCCTAAACCCTAAACCAAAAACCCTCTAAGGAAGTTGACAGAGCCTCCACGTAGAGCGATTAGAATGGAACTCGAAGTCGCAGTTGAAGCCTTAAGCCCGAAATATCCAAGGCGCCTATTGGTATTAGTCAGGAATGCAAGGGTTTAGGGTTTTTGGTAGTTTAAGGGGGTTTGAGGTTTAGGGTTTGGGGCTGAGGGGCCCTTATGGACTCTGTGTGGGTGTGTTTTTAGATTTCTATAGCGCTCTTTAGGCAAGAAGATCAATCACAGCGAATGAGCCGATGGGTACTTGAGATTGCTACTGTCCACCAGCAACAACAACATAGTAAAGGCCAGACATATTTCTTGGAACAGTCCTAGAAATTTGCTAGGCCAGCAACCGTTCAAAGGAATATAGACGCCTGAATAATTACCGACACATGTATGAGGGTTTCTTTTAATACGTATTTATACTGTAATATATACCTTAAAAAACCCTAGTCTTAGGATTTCTTAGGATTCAGGCATGGGGTGCGTTTTAATACGTATTTGTAAGATAATCTACCCTAAAACCTTATTCTAATGGTTAAAACTTTAAACCCTAAACGCTGAACCCTGAACCCTAAACCCTAAAACCCTATTCGTAGGATAAAGGGCGTATGCTTCAGAAACCCGAGGAAGCCGGTCCGGAGTTCGCATGGAAGGGTTCACAGAAGCTGAACATACGGAGGTTCAGGGTTTCGGCTTCGGGAATACAGGGTTTAGGGTTTAGGGTTCAGGGTTTAGGGTTCAGGGTTTAGGGTTTAGGGTTCAAAGGTTTAGGGTTTATTCTTTCTGATGCAAGACAGCCTTCATTCATCCCTGTGACCGAAGCCAGCGGCCCTTGAAACAAACTCCGAAGGAGCCTCGGTGATCAACTAACACTTCATGCGGCCTTTACCGAAAAACAACATTTCTAGGCCCTTGACGCCTATATCCTAATCCCCACAGCGCTGGACTAGGCCTGATTTCAACTCGTCCGTTGTAGTGCAATATACCCCGAGACCGTCTTTACGGATTACGAAAGCTCCGACATTACCCGCACGGCAGCCTGCAAGCCCTAAACCCTAAAACCATTGTCAGGCTCAACATGATGATGCTTGGGATCGAAGCCGAAGTTTCCTTGCCTCTTGCCCCCAAAGAATGGGCCGACGTCTCTATTCGGGGGTCCTGTAGTAACTTGGGAGACCAGAAGATTTCAGAGATTTGCCGAAGGGTGTTCAAGGACTCTGCGAGAAGAGGGGCAGGGGTCTGCAGCTTTTGGGTGTAGGACGGCTACGGCATTCATGGCAATTTAGGACTAGCATGGGAGACAAAATGATCAGCGATAACATGTTCTTGCTTATAGTCCATCGACAACGATACTGCAATTTACAATTTACCCGATGCCCTTTTCGAATGATTGAAGCCGCTTTATATTGCTTTTGGGCCTCAAGCCCAAAACCCCTAAACCCTAAACCCTAAACCCTAAACGGTTCAGGCCTTTAGGCCAACAGCCGCCGTCCTCACAGATGTGGTGCTCCTTGTGTAAGGGCTTGGGTTTGGCGTTTAGGGATTTAGGCTTTAAGGTCCGTGTGAGGTTCTTAGAGAGATTCCTGAAGGTCCTATAAGGGCTGTACGCCGGCGCTCTCTATGGTTGTTTAGGGCTCTACAACAGCTTTGTAAGCGTTCTGGTGTAGGGTTGGGTTTGGTATCGTGGCCTGAAATATGAATACCATCCCCTAGGGCTTCCAAACGGAACTGATCCCCAAACCTTGAAGCCTAAAGCTCCTAAATCCTAAAGCTGCGAATCTGTTTGACCATGACGGCTCGAATCTAGAACCCATTAATTATAATATAGTGCCGTTATAGACGAATAGAACCTAGTAGAACCCTTGCTGGAACCGCTTAAGAAGGCTCTGAGGAGACTTGGGGGGCTCAGGCTTAGTGTTTAGGTCTCCAGAGCCACATGGCAAGAGCGCAGAGGGTTCTGTTCCACGTCCCTGCACTCTGACTTAGATGCTCCTTCTTGGGATGTGTTTAATGTTGTTCCCTATCATGGTGTAGAATCATGGGGGGTTGTTGGAGCTATCTGTTTGTTGCGTTTTGTCAAAGGGGCAGTGACCAGGATCAACGAGAACGAAGAGGTGGTCTGGGCCACCTGGGTGGAACGTATCTTCTTGGCTATCTACACGGCTGCAGCATGGCTTCAAACCGGGGGACTAGGGAGTTTTGAGGGTTTAGGGGGCCCAGATGGGCTTCAGCGACTATCTCAACAGCCCCTCCGGCATTTCCGAGCAGTCGGCTTTGTGTTGGCTTGCGTGATTTGCTTTTGAGAGTTTCGGCCCTTCAATTTGAGTACTGTCGGGTCGCTTCTTCGGAGATCCTCATCATTCTAACGGCGAGTATCATACCATTTGGGAAATTTGTGGTTTTAGGATTCTGGTGCCGTGTTTTCTAAAATTCCCGGAAGTATGCGCAGACCAGATGAACCAGATGACCAGTTCTCGACATTTTTTGATGGCTGATCTTAGAGGGTTTAGGGATTAGGGTTTAGAGTGTGTTGTACACAAGATGGTTTCAATCCTCCACCTGGAATCTCACACCCTGGACGCCGAAACGCCCCTATAGCTCAGAGCCCTAAACCCTAATGCAAGGAATGTGCTCTGCGCGTTTTTGCGAAGGGCAGCGAGGCTTTCAGGCGCGACGGAAAGTCATTGACTGAGATTTCGGGGACAGGAGGGGTGTCGCCGTCCGGCTTGCTACACCTGCCTATTCTTAGCATGCTGCACGTCAGACCTAAACCCCAAACCCGTAGAAGGACTTGCATCTATCCATAGGCCCCATAGTAGTTCCTTTTTGGGTTTACCTTATAGGATTCTATATATGAACCCAAAAAGGAACTACTTTAGGGCCTATGGGTATCTTGGGGTTCCAACGGACAGGGAACCCTATAGAAACCCTTTGAAGTTGGGGTTCCGATGATTCTGGAGCTCTTGGCCTTAGCCCGACTTTGACGATGGCCAGGAAGGTTGAGGGTTTAGGGTTTAGGGTGCAGGGTATATGGCAAATCTCATACAGCAGGCAAGCAACACTCAAAGGAAAGCACAAGTTATGCAACAGCAGACTCACAAGAACCGACCCTCAACCACAAACCCTGAACCCTAAACCCTACGGACAAGTCGAGTGTTTTCACGGAAAGCTCCAGTGACGGCCCGAGGTTAGATACAACGTCAGTGTCCTGACTCTCGAACCCCCAAAGCGTAAACCTGAAGTGCTGAACCCGAAACCATGCAGAATAGTCTTGCGTGAGGTGTTAGGGTTTAGGGCCTAGGGCCGTTGGCGGTTTATACGATTTCACAACCCAGAGCGTCCACATGCAATACCACTAGGGCATTCTCAATTAGGTCCTTAAAGACCATCACCAGGAGGGTCTTTTGGGACCTGGTTCCATCGTGGCAGTACTGTATACGATTTCAGTTCAACCCTGGAGCTTGCAAGCTGTCTGCTTTTGTGAGTGTGGGTTTGTGTGGGTTGCAAGGCTTGGGGCGCCGCAGCCGCAGAAGTTCTAAGTCTATATCACCCGAAACCCTGAACCCCATGTGTGTGTGTATGTATATATACACATTATATGTGTAACATTATATGTGTATATATATATATATAGGTTGTCTAAATTAGGGCCCCTTTTTAAGAACCGATAAGAAGGCGGCACAGTTATAACATGTACCTCAAAAGGGACCCTGATTTACAGAACCACCCATATATCCATATATATATATATATATATATATACAGATACACGCCCACACTGGAGAAGCCGCAGGAATATGTGGTTCCTCCTGGACTTCTTCTTGGTCATCGTCGGGGTTCTGGTAGCTTTGGCCCGGGAAGTGCTCTGCAGTAGGGTTCTTAGTTCCCCAATACCCAACCTTTAGGCTTTTCGGGTTCTTATAGTTTAATACTAATCTCAAAGTTTAACCTTTATTTCCCTGGCTTCTTGGGGAAGTAAGGGTTTGGGGTTAAGGTTTAGGGTTGAGGGCTTTAGGGATGCTTTGGCATATCGGAGAGGGTAACTAACGGGTATACAGGTCGGATGTTGCTGACTGCAGGAATGCTACTTCATATAGGTGGTTGTCAAAATTANNGGTCCTTATTATAATACGGCACCAATTATTTAGGGCACCCCAACAGGGACCATAATTTTGACAACTACCCATGTACCAGGGTGAGCTCTCATGAGGACCCGCGGCCTCGCAGTCGCGAATCCCTGAAACGGCTTAGGATTTGGGGTTTAGGATTTACCCAATGGCCCCATAGTAGTTCCTTTTTGGGATTACCTAATAGGATCCTAAATATAAGCCCCCAAAAGGAACTACTATGAGGCCTGTGGGTAGGTTTTAGGGTCCTGACGTCTTAGAACCAAACATCCGAGAGGGATTCCTGATCCAGTAGTGGCCCATATAGACCCAGATCAGTAGGCTCCTTAGTAGGCGGCCGAGGCATAAACTGTGAAAGCAGATCCCCAAGCCCTAAACCCTAAAGAGCCCTCAACTCCCTGTCCCTGAACCCCAAACCCTGGCCCAACATGCTCAACCTCGAATCACACCCGGGCTCATGGGCCGAACGAATGCGCTTTGAGGATTGTTTTGCTCATGTATTCCGTTTCGGATTTACCTAGACCCCCAACTACCCTGTACTTCACCCTGAATACCCGCCATCAAGGACCATAAGGGCTCAACTAAAGCGTACTTGCCGGCTTTGGGCTTGGGGTGATGGGTTTAGGGTCTAGGGATCCAGGGACCACATCAGTCAGGGGGGGTGTTGCATTTGGACTTCAAACCCGAAACCAGGATTTAGCTATATAGTCTTCCATAGATATATAGCGTTTAGGGTTTTGTGCTTAGGATTTAAGGTTTTGGGTTTAGGGGTTTAGGGTTTGGGGTCTCCAAACGAGCTTGGAGCCTGAGACCATGTGCATCTACTTAGACCCTCAACCCTAAACTCGAAACTCTAAAGCCCAGAATGCCTAGAACCTACCGCCTAGGCACTTGTGGTTTTTCCGCTGGTGGGCACTGCCGCGGGCGGCATCGAGAAGATTTTGGCCTCTCAGCTTGACCCGCTGCCTCCCCCGAAGCCCTGCACCTTAAACCTTATGACTTATGAAGCCCTCAAAGCCTTAAAAGCCCTAAACGCCTGAACCCCAGACTCCCAAACCTCTAAACCCTAAACCCTAAACCCTAATAACCCCAATCCCTAATAACCCATAGACCTTCTGAATTCATCAAAAGAGCCCAATCCGGTTTCAGGGTCTTGGTATTCAGGGGAAACCAAGGCAGGCCCAGTTCCCAGAAAGGCAGCGTGCCAAAAACAGGATTCTCCTCACTGTTTAGGGTTTAGGGGTCTAGGGGTTTAGGGTTTAGGGCTTTGGGCTTTTAGGGTGTAGGGTTTAGGGTTTTAGGGTTTAGGGGATTCTCCCAACGCATTTGCATTACCTATCGTCTCCATTGTAGTTCCTTTTTTGGGTTACCGCATATGATCCTATAATTTGGTCCAACCCAGAAAAGGAACTACAGTACAGCGGAGACTATAGGTAAGCCGGGTATGCCCACACCCTTAAATATCAAACCTTCAGCCCGCATACCGACGCAGAGAAGCATGTTCCGACCCGCCACACCCAAGCCAGAAGCCCTGAACCCTAAGCCCTAGCACCTTAAACCCTAAAGCCATAAACACTGAACCCTAAACCCCAAACCCTAAACCCCAAACCCTAAACTCCAAACCCCTAAACCCTAACACCTGAGTCCTAAATTATAAACCCTTAACCCCTAAACCCTAAACCCCAAAACCCCTAAACCCTAAACCCTAAACCCCAAAACCCCTGAACCCAGAAGCCCTGAACCCCAACCCTAGCCCCACAAACCCCGGGCTCATCAAGCCCTTTGAGCCATACCTGCAGATCCAATAAAAGGGCTTAGGGTTTTACGGTTTAGGGTTTTGCGGTTTAGGGTTTACGGTTGAGGAGTTTTCGGCTTTAGGGTTTTATGGTTCAGGCTTTAATGTAACACACTATGGATTGGGATTATACTGTATAGTTATGGAGTCAGAAACTGCTAGTTTGCAGGGTTTGGATCCACAAGTATCCCCCCAAACCTTTAAATCCGTTAAATCCCTGGACCTTGCATCCTTTCATCTTACTTCGAGAACTCTAACCCCTCCCACCCATAATATAGGGGCCGTAACAATTACCTATACTATTTTTTGGGGCTCCTTATTATAAATATAGTATGATATACCCCAAAGGCCGATTCTAACTATTAAGCCCCCTGCATTATAACCCCTAAACACCACCACCCCACCCAACCTTTCGGTTCCGAGGTCGTCCGCGGTCTACGGCTCCTCCGCCTCGCGCGAGCATTACGGATGGTCGGACGACTGAAGGTCCTCCCCCGTGAAGTTCTTCAAAAAGGTCCACGTACTATAGCCCCTTTAGAGTGTAGGGTTCGGTTAAGGTTTGGGGTTTAGGGTTTAGGGTTCGGTTTACAGAATAATTTGTAGCATTATCCCCTTTTGGTCCACCAAGTTTTGTGTAAGATCGCCCAAAACTCCATTCCTGAGATGATCTACGCTGTAACTGGCCGAGCCTAGTTGCTGTTTAGGGACAGTGAACACCAACCCTACAAAGTCCATATGCGAGTTCATCATGGGAACCTACCAGACAAGTAGGCTCTGGTAGCTCAAGGTAAGGTCGACGTCAACTTTTCCTTGGAAGGGTTTCACTTCGAAGCCCGGTTTCTTGTCCCGGGCAAGTTGAAGTTTAGTGTTTGGGGCTTAGGGCTTAAGGCTTATAGGGCCTAGTATAGTGGCCTCAATAATTACCGACATGATTTTGGGGGTTCCTTATTAAAATCATCGTCATCGTATAATGGGCGCGAGAACCCTATTCTTATTCTTAAGGCCCCTGCATTAGCGTGCAGGGTTCAGGGTTTGGGGATCGGGTTTAAGGAATTCAACTTTCAATCAGCCTGACAGGTCATTTGGCGCCTTGTCTATGGGCTGATCACCGCAGGGCAGAAACTCTCCTCGCACTGGGCTTTGGGGCTTGTAGCGTTTATGGGGCGGCTACTATAGGGGCCTTCATAATTAGAATAGCATATGGTTTTGGGAATATTATACTATAACTATGATAAGGAACCTCCAAAACCCTATTCTAATTATTTCAGGCCCCTATATCAGGGGGGTTTCGGGGTGGCGGTGAGGGATTGGGGCTTTAGTGTCTGGGCTGTGCGTAGTTCAAGGGACGGTCCTGGTTAATTCGGGTGGCTTTAATTAGGGAGGTGCGAAGGATTTAGAGTTCACGTTTTAGGGTTTAGGGTTTTAGGGCCTCATGGCCTTCTTGTGTTTGTGTTTAGGGATGGTTTCGGTTAGTATAGGGGCCTAAATAGTCGTCTATACTATTCCTTATTATAACTAGAGTATAATGTACCCGAAAGCCCTGTTCCAATTGTTCAGGCCCCTACATGATTTGTGTGAGGAGAGTCGGGGGACCAGGGCTTTCCTGGGACGGTTCAGGGTCTTTAGGTTGCGGTTCTTGAGGTGGGGGGTGTTGGATTTAGGGTTTAGGGTGTTGGGGTTTAGGGTTTAGGGTTTAGGGTTTAGGGTTGGATTTAGGGTTTAGGGTGTTGGGGATTCAGGGGGCCACCTTGCACGCACTCCCGAGCTCTACGCCCAAACACAAATTATCATCTCTCTTTAATGGCGTTGGATGAACATGAGGTTTCAGATTTTGAAATTTAGCCTGTTGGGGGAAGGCTTGACAGAATATCACGGGCAGGGAGAGACTGTACATAAGCCAGTAGCAGAGATGTTTCTGGTGGCTCTTGTTGCTGAGGGTGTACATCAGGATCTTCGGCGAGGCTTTTGTTGGGTGTCTTCACAGAGGCATGCCTAAACAGAAATACTACTTCGTGATATGCTGCACTCATTTTGAATCGCAGAGGTCGACACGCAAAGCTGGAGCAGCGGCAGCAAAAGAAACAACTAGCAGTAGTCTTCCTTCATCACTCCCCCCACACGATGTGTGTATTGTAAAGCTGCTATGCCGTCAAACCCACTTCGGACCGTAAGCCCTTAGCTGTAAGGGCTTCCCGCACAAGAGCTTGCCTGCAGGCCTCGGCCCAGTCCTTCGACCCTAAACCCCAAATCCCCAAAAACCTGGCACCCCTAAACCCTAAACCCTAAACCCTAAACGCCCTACACCCGGAACCCTAAGCCCTGAACCCTAAGGCCTCGGTCGTCCCTGTAACCTCCGTCCCGGTAGCTGCGAGCTTTCGGGAAGCACGGACTCAGGGTTTCAAGATTTCGGGATTTGTTGTCTAAGGTTTAGCCTTTCAGTTTCCCAATACCCTACCTGTAGACTTTTTGGGTTCTTATAATAATATACCAGTAATCTGAAAGCTTAACCCTGTTATGACCCTGGCTTATTGGGGAAGTAAGTCAGAGTGTCAGGGTTTAGAGCTCTTTGCCTTAGCGAAACTTTAGGTTTGCAGAGTTGGGGTTTCAGGGTTCAGAGATTGGACCGCTTTAGGGTTTAGGGTTTTGGGGCATTTGGGTCGGGAAGGCCTTGTAATATATTGATAGTGTCTTACGGTGTCTTTTTTTGTGAACAGTTGTATGTGTCATAAATAATAAAGGCCCCTATGCGAGGGGTCTGGGGTTCGGCGATTCAGAGTTGAAGTTTGTGTTGAGAGGGAAGCCCGGTAGCCCCAAGCCCTTATACAGAGGCCTAAAACTTTATAGCTTGAAAGCCTTATCTAGGAAACCGGTGTGGGACCGTACGCAACCCTTATGATTTTGACAGCCCTGTAAACCTCATAAAGCTCAACATCCGTAAGGACGATGTTCTCCACCACGTTGCTGATTGGTCTGGTGCTCTTCATCTGCGGCTGTGTGTCAGTGGAGATCATCACCAAAAACAAGGACCCACCAGATGAATAGGTCCCGGCATAGGCCCCAGATTGCAAAGCCTTGAAAGGGCTCATGCCCTATAAACCCTGAACCCTTAAAGGGTACCCGACACCCTAAATCCTAAGCCCTCAACCCAAGCGCCCTGAGTCCCTGAATCAAGCGACTGTCTGCGGCAGGCATTCTGCCGAGATCCCACATCCGAGACGTGTCAAGTGGTGAACAAGCACTTTGCGCAGCTTGCCCGCTAGTATCGGCAGGGTTTAGGGTTTAGGGCTTAGGGAAATTGAGGGGCCTGAATAAGTATGACAGGATTTTGGGTTTATACTAGACACTTTGCTACAATATTGAACCCTAAGGAATAACATTCGTGTTTCTTGTTTCCTGAGCGGACAGTAGGGCCCATACGGGCGCCTCCCAAAACTTGCTACTAATTATTCGGCTTCTACGCTACTTCAACAGGTTTAGGGGCTTGTAGAGCTCATGAGGTTGAAAGGGTGTCTCAGGGCTTTCAAGGTCATTCGGATTTAGGATTTAGGTTTGGGTACACGGTTCGTTACAGGACCTTGATCTTAATAGAAGGGTACTCTATAAGTAAGTAATGGCATTCGCTGCTCTAGCAGGGTCGTCAAAGGGAAGGGCTTTGGGTTGGTTGGTTGAGGTTTAGGTTTAGGTTTAGGTTTAGGTTTAGGTTTGAGCGATTAGGGTCTGATTCATGAGCGACGGTGTCCCCTAGTTACCTCTGAGTCTCATGCTTCATTTGACTTCTGACATTTGTGGCATGTCTCGCCTTCAACTGTGCTGGTATTACTACGACACCCCGCAGAAAGTGCTATGTCGACTTCTGCTTCTGCTGTGGCCTGGTGACTGCTGGCATTTGTCACTGTTTCTGCGACTCCTCTTGCCAATCTTCGTCCCCTGCTACTGTGGTTTAGGGTTTAGGGTACTGATATTACTAATGAGACGGCGAAGACGATCACAGCATCCACGACCACCGCCGCTCCTGCAACCGTCACTTCCACCGTTGTCACTGTTACCACGGCTGCTGCTAGTGCTTCCGCTTTGCTAGTAGTCACTGTGCGACAGCAGCTATCGACGACCCTCATGGATACTACGAGCTCAGCCCATGTAACTTGAACCCTAAACCCTAAAATTGAAGACTTAAAGTTGACTTTAGAGTTTCCGTTCTCAGGGACCTGGGCACATCGATCCTCACCCTCGTGCAGTTCGTCACGCCGCCCGTCCTGGTTGGGCTGCCTCTGGATTTCTTCGTAGATCATAGTAGACAGTGCAAGAAGGCAGACTTGTCGGGCTTTATAGGTGTGCCATGGTCCTGGAATCTGAGAGAGAGAGAGAGAGAGAG